TAATTGCGAAAATAAATAGAGCTCATGGTCCAATATAAAATCAAAATATAATTAACCCAAATTTCCCTTCATTTTTTTCCTTCGATTAAGTTTATTTATACTATTAATAAAAAGATGGGGTGGGTTTGATATCCTCTTCATTATTAGAGCATTTCTAACTTTCACTTAAATTTAGTAATTATACGTTTATTGTTACATTTCTAATCTCTGAAAACTGTTTTTTACTCGTATCTCTTCTAGAGCCTTCGGTGTAACATTTAACCACCAAAATTTATCTATTATTATGACTTATCTTCTGTATCTTTTTCCTTCTTCTCACATAGTATCGTGTGTGAATCACTTCTAGTGTGTGTATATTTTGTGCTGTTACTTTTTTTTAGTAGAACTACGGGTAAATTGTGCCTTCAGACACAATACAATATAAATGATTTTGAGAGGAATGTTAGTGACTATTAGATGAGTCCATTTAAAACTATTGGATGAATTTACTAAAACCTGTTTTATTTTATATTATAGATACTCTACGTGACTGCATGTGCAGACTAGAGAGGATGAATTTATATCACAACATAATTGCACGTGACTTTTGATCGGTTTCTGTTTCAATTTCTATCCGCTAGTTTGCTCCCACTTAGATCAATGCATGCAAAGATGTCATTCGGAGGACGGATCTCATCAATGGATTGAATTTTCGGATCCATCAAGTCGAATGAAGTTTAATTGTCCATCTTTGAAATCATTGAGTATAGGCAGCTCTTAGGAAAAATCATGGGTTGAATTTTCATGTCCTTTCAAGTTTAATCATTCATCGTCAAATTAAGATTATTAGGAGATTGCGGATCTTCTTAATTTATAGTCAAGACCCGATGATCTTTGTGAGAGATAATTAAAATTATTACGAATTGTCAAATTTAGAAGTTCTAAATGGCTCTACCTCGAGTATAATCACGTTATTACAGGATTAGACATGAAAATTTTACTTTTAATTGAGAGCAAGTAAAATAATTTATTACTTACTGAAAAAAAAAAGTTAAATAATTTATGGCTAAATTTATTGTTACAATTGACTGTCAATTAATCCTATAAAAACACACTAGAGGATTCAGTATACCAACGATGAATGATTGAATGTAACAAAGTTAATAATATCTAAAATTTGGAGAGTGTATTCCAACAATGCATGAGGATCGCATATGGGTTGAATTGAAACCAACTAATTTCTATTTTCTTTAAGTTCATAGGCAAAATTGAAGAACATGAGAGTTGTTTAGATGTAATAAGTTCATTATGGAGAAGGTCTAAGATGTATTACAATGTCTACTTGGATTTGCCTGACAGTCTGAATAGTTAAGGAGTTGTCTATTCCCCAACAGGACATAGAGTAGAGTGTCACAAATAATATAGGGTCTCTTTTCCCCTGTTTCTTTTGGGAGCAAGCTAGATCAATCAATGTACACCAAAAGAAAGACACTATGAACTAGTTTTTCATCAACAGGATAGAGACCCAGTGGGCTTCCTAGTGTGTGGAAGTGTAGAAATATATTTTTTTGCAATACTTTCATACATGGTTTATATTCTCACAAATCCATGTAAAGTTAATTAAAAATAAGATAATATCATCTAACATTCTTGTAAATCCAAAATTATAGTAAGTCTTTACTAATATTAGTTGTTATTTAAAGTTTATTGTTTGATATTTCAATTTAGACAGCAAAAAATAAACCGATGAGCTCATTGGGCAACACCGGTTCAAATAATTGAAACAATCTCTCTGGATGTCAGCATAAACCTAAATACGTTTGACTATATAGTTGAATTATATCGCTAAAATTACGTACGATGCACATATCAATCAGATTGGAGTACCATTACAATACCAAAATATCATTTTTGGGTCTTGTAACTTCACTTTTCATCCAATAAAAATGCGTCACATGTAAAAAAAATTTATTTTATTATTTTTTAAATTAATCGTTGCAAACCATCCAAATCAAAAATAATTGTTGCGGGCCAATCAAATGGGCCGTTTTTCTTGTTGTTCACAAAGGGTAAATAGAAGAGGACTATTTAATATTAAAGAGGAAATATATTTTGTGGAGTATCATGCACAATTTGGCAAACATTATGGGAAATTTCAAGAGAAATTTGATTTTCTTAGGATTAAATATACTTAGCAAGATTAAAATTACACCGAATCTCTTAGTCATCGTACTTTCCACGTGAGCGTCTAAAGTATCGGGACAATTGTAGCGCCAATAGTGTAGCATCAAATTCCCCCTCCCCCTCCCCCGGGAAAGAAGTTTGTACGATGTGGTCAATATTACCAAAAAATCTAAAAAAAAAAAAATTATTATTTGCAAAAAGTTCGGAGAACATAGTGACACAAGGGTCAAATCTAAATGGTGGAATATTTAATTTTCTCTTTAGTCGTAAATGGTGGAATAATTTGGTATTGACAGAAATATAACTGTGATGAGTAAATTGATAGACCCTATGTGCATCTTCAGGCTTATGTGTCACTAAGCCCAGTAACCTGGCTCTTTCAAAAACTTATACAACACTGACCCAAACTTTTAGGCTGGGCATACCCCAATGTCATAAGTGGATCATAGTAGCTATCATTTGATACAATGTGGTAGACTTTTGACCTAACATTGTAAATGACAATGCTCTTTTTCAATGCATTACAGATACTTTGCGGGAAATGTTATTTGGACTTAAAATAGATTTGATCAATCACTGTTTGAATAGGTTGTAGATTCTCATAAATATTGGAGCCCACAATGAAATCAATGATAGTGATTAATGAAGTTTATATTTTAAATATACATTTTAAGTCTTGCTAATATTTTGTATGATTTTATTATTCATTTTTTTAGAGTTAATTGTACTAGAGGTCCTTAAAGTATAAAATTTATCTCATTTTGGTCTTCAATGTTTCAATTGTATCATTTGTCTCTAAAGTATTGAATATGTTTCTAAATAATCCTTCAAGCAGACAACATCCAGATTACTAACAATTTTTTATCATAAACTTATCACGTAATACCTAAATATGGACGACAAATAATTTTAATAGCTCTTAAACAAAATTTGGGAACTCTTGACCAAAAAAATGTGTAATATAGATAGTTTTTGACCAAAATTTAGATAACTCATGATCAAAACTGTGTAATTTAGGTAGCTATTTAAATAAAATTTCAATAGAAATTTGATCAAGAGATATCTAAATTATTTTTTTATCCATATTAAATATCACCTGACAACCTTATAATAAAAAATAGTTAGCAATTTGGACACTACTTACTTGAGAGATCATATAGAAACATATTTAATACTTTAAGGACCAAAATGATGCAATTGAAATATTATGGACTAAAATGAGACAAATTTCATGTTTTGGGGGACTTCCAGTATAATTAACCCTTTTTTTTAAATTTTATCACTTTAATCACTTTGGTCCATCAAGGTTTCTATTTGTGTCATTGGTATCCATTCTTGCAATTTCATATTTTAGTCCACAAATTTCAAAAAAATTCCTTCAAGTGTGGTCACACGAATTCCGCAAATACATTTGTGAGATAGCTCCTCCTTTGGAACAGCTATCTTAGCCCATGAACACCAATGTCTCTTTCTTACTGCTGCTTTGCTAGACCAAATGAAAGCTGCCATTATAGAATTCATTCTAGCAAGAATGCCCTTTGGCAAATTCATACAAACTAAGGGATGCACAGGTATCGCACTATGGACTGATTGAACCAACTTGAACTTGATAGAGGTGTGGGTGTGTAAATCAAATTGGACTCGATACAAGCCTTGTAAGTAGAATATATAGTTTGTATCACAATGAGCATTAACAACACAAAAGCACCGATGAGCGAAATGATGGACCACGGCTTGTTGAAATAATTGTTCTTTAAATTGCCCATCCATCTATTCGAAGGATGTCCACAATGCTCGTTAACTTGAATGAAAACTTTTAAATAATAGAAGTTTGTAGAACTTGCGAGGGCATGACTGTTGAATTTATTAAACATGGTAGAAACTGTTTTATCATCGCTTAATTAGTTATCAATAACTCCATAGTAGAAAAGTATTTTGACATTCTTCAGAAAGTTGATGGGCAATCTATAAAAGTCACGTAGTCAGTCATATAAGCTGGCTTGCTTCCTCCTCTACATTGCTTGTATGCAACCATATTTCTAATGAGACTCAATACTATCAACAATTATCAGTGAAGGAATTTTTGTGATTCCATTTATGAATTTGTTATCCAATAAGAGATACTTTCTCATTACAACAAAAATTGTTTTTTGCCACGATTTTTTTCGTCGCTAAATTAAAAAAAAATCTTCGCCAATTATTTTCTGCAACGTTTTTTTTTTGGTTGCGTGTTCATCGCAATAGTCTCATCACAAATTTATTTTCATCGCAACAAAAAATTTTTGCGACGAAAAAACATTTCGAAAAGTTCAAAAAAACGTCGCTAAAATCTACTCCACCAACGTAAAAAATAAAAAATAATAATTTAATTAATTTTTCGCGACATAAAAAATTCGTCGCAAATAATTTTAAATAAATAAAAATGTAAAAAATAATAATTTAATTTATTTTTTGCGACGTAAAAAAAACATCGATAATAATTTTTTACATAAACAAAAATATAAAAAATAATAATTTAATTAATTTTTTGCGACGTAGAAAAATAGCTGCGTTACAGGTTGTTCCTACAATTTTGACAATTTTAATTTCGTTGCAAAACATTCTTTTTTTAAAAAAATAATTCATAAAAAATAATATTCCAATAAAATTTTTCACCTGTACACCAATAATACCTGTGTTTAATAAAAAACTAACACAATTAATATATTTCACATTTTTTAAAAAAAAAAATTTATATTTTCAAAAAGAATGAATTACAAGAGTCAAAGAACAAGAAATTCTAAAAATAGAAAAAATGGCTTTAATCCTTTAAGAGGATTTAAACCATCTCTAATTATATTTATTCTCTTAAACTTGAACAACTCTAGTAGTCCAACTCCATGCCTTGAAATAGCATCTCCAAGCTCAACAGATCAGTGCCAGGATCTGAACCACAATGCTGGACATGAACCACTGCATAAAACCATGGCCCAATCCAGGATCTGCATAATCAAATTGACCACCACACACAACCTTCCTCCTCCTAGCAGTAGGGAACCTAGACTGATCCTGATGCAAAACCAACCTTCCATCCAGTGGAAGAATACCACTTTCTGAAAAATTAGTGAAAATAGAATAAGGGTATTGAAAGAGAGAGGCAGTATTTACATTGAAAACAAGTGTTGATAAAGTAGTGTGGATAAACTAAGAGAAAATCAGTGCAGTGCTAGCCAGTATCACAATTTTCATAATACTATTATTAAATCATGTACTATTATATCATTAAATTAACAAATTAAATTTGATTTTTAACTCTTAATAGCGATACTCTTCTATTAATTAAGCTGAATCATCTTAGTTGGAATCAGTGAGCAGCATAGGTAGTTCAATATATCCTATGCTTACCACTGCAGAAGCCCAAAATCAAATGTACCTAGTAGTCTTACTATGTAAAGAAATTGTTTTTGTAATACAAGCTCGTGACATACATCACAATAGAGTAATTTTACTGGTCCCTCTTAGTACAGGAAAATTATTTGCTTTGCTAGTAGCTCCCTTGGTACTGTAATCACCAAGAAAAAATTAATGGTGAAGAAAAGACCAAAACGGATATGGCAATTTGAAAGAATATATACTGATGTGCACAACGTGGAGCTAAGAACAGCAGTATCAGTATAGAACCAAATAGAACAGGCTTGTGTTGGAAGCAGAAAGATTCCTTATATCAACTGCATGCAGATCAATGATCAAAAAGCAAAAGTAAGATAAGAGCCATCAACAATAAAACCCAACTCATACACAGGCAAGACACATCGCAAAGCAAAAACAAAACTACTTATAACTTTGTCTTTCCAAAGCCAATTTGAAGCAACAAAGAAGGACAACTTCCAATCACAAGCAACAGGGTATATGAAATACAGTACATTATAAGTGTAAATCACAAGACAAGCATCAACAAAGTAAGTCAAATTTTCAAGAGAAACATAATAATAGCCCCCCACAAGTTGATATGAAGATGGGAGATAGTGTAATCAAGCATATAAGAAATGAAAAGGTTCACAAATAGAATTCCAAAACTTCTCTAATCGGCCATTTTAGTCAAGCGATGAATGGTACTTCTTGCGAGCCTGTTATGAGGATCAAGTTTCATAACAGTCATGTGGATCTATCTGTCGTACAGAAACGAGCATAATCAACAAATAGCAAAGAAGAACAATATGTATTAGTAGTTGAAAGTTCTATAAAAGCAAACTTACTGCCTCAAGCCAGTGCTGTAAAGCAAGTTTGCGTGCCTTCTAGTCCTTTGACAAACCTTTCCCCACCTGTCAATGACGACAAAAACAAAAAAGTTAGAGCTATAATCAGGAGGCAATAACGCAAGTGTATACCACATCATCCACGACTTACCTTGGCAGCTCTGGTTCTGGCTCTTGACCAACGTGATACATCAGTTTCAGGTTTATCGATGTCAAAAAATGAAATGGAACTGCGCTTGAGTTCAGCAAAATCCAATAACTTCCACCTAAAAAAAGGAAAACAAAATCGAAAATTTAACTAAAAGATTATTGGGATGCTATAAGAACTCAAGCTAATTTCTTCAAAATGTGTAAATGGAAATTAAACATATGAAGTATGAACCCTCAAATTCTTTTAACAGTTTAAAGTTATGATCATACCTTCGTACAGTCAGTTGTCCCTCCATTGTCATTCCCTCCCCCAAATTCTGATTCAAAACCCCAATCATTGCCTCCCGAAAACTGATCATTGTGCAGCCCTTCAGACTCTTTTGTCGCAACCCCACCCGAGGCCGAGGATGAGGAGAACAAAGAATCAAACGCATCAACACCGGGGGAATGCACAGATGGTTGGTTCTGAGAAGCAAAACTCCCAAAATCGTCCATCTTTGAAGAAGTATCCATGCTCGAACTATTATTTTTTGTGGGAAAAGCATTTGACATAAATGACGATGTACTCGATTTCGATTTCGATTTCGAATCATTAGGAGTTGTCAAGAGAAAGAAAACGATTTCTTATGAGATTCACAGAAGTTTCAGAATCAGCTTTCAAGCATCTTTTATCAGTTAAACCGCGAGGAATAAATGATGGAACAGGAACAGAAAAAATTTTAAAACAGAACAAACCCAATACCATGAGTAGTTTAAATCAACAATGATAGTGCTCACAGAATCACTCAATGATTTACAGGAGCATCAAAATCTAAAGAAAACTTACTTTTGGTTCTGACTTTGGATAGCTTTCAGTCTACGATGTGGGGGTCGGAGTCCGGAGTCCGGAGGCTGGAGTGGTGCCTCTTGGAGCTGCTCAGTCGCCGGAGTGGTCGCTGGAGAGCTGCCTCTTGGAGCTGTGGTCAGTCGCTTAGTGGTCTGGAATTTTTTGTGGATCGATTTAGGGGAGGTCTCGATAAGAATATTCCCGATAAACTTAAAACTTTGCGAAAAACGAATTAAATTATTATTTTTTATTTATGTAAAAATTTATTTGCGACGTTTTTCTAAAAATGTCGGGAAAAAATAATTTAATTATTATTTTTAAAATTTTTTATTTACTTCAAAATTTATCGGTGACGTTTTTAAAAAAAAGTTGTAAAAAATTAATTAAATTATTTTTTCATTTAATTTCCCAATTCCCTTCATTTCTCCCGTTAAAAATAATTAGGAGCGAATTGCCTTTTTACGACGTTTTTTTAAAAATATTATAAAAAATTGTCAAAATAGAAATTTAGACTTTATTTTGCTTTAAATTTTAGATTTTTTATTTTTGCGATGAAATAAAACTATTTGCAACAAAAAAATTTTGCGGTAAAAAATTGTCAATTTCCGCCATTTCTCCCGCCAAAAACAATTAGGAGGGAATTGCTTTTTTACGACGTTTTTAAAAAATGTTGTAAAAAAATTGTCAAAAAAGAAATTTACAACAAAATTATAAAATCGTCGCAAATATTAAACTTTTTGCGAGAAATTTAAAATCGTCGCCAAAAATATTTTTTGTTGCAGTGTCTATAGCCTTTACGAATTTAATCCCAGATTCTTGAAACTCTGTGGTACATTTCATAAAACTCTATTTCCTTTCCTGGTTTTCATCAATCCTAGGAGAAGACACCATTGTAGCAAATGAATAACACCAATACGAGATAACTGGAACGATTGGAAGTAAAAAACTGAGAGCTAAGACAAAACTATTCTCTACTGGGTCTCCTTGGTTTGGATCTTTGCTCATGTCAAATAACTTGAAGAGGGCAAAGAATGACAGTTGATTCTCAAATAATAGTAAATCACGTTGTATACTATTCTTAATCTGGGCTATTTGAAAAATAGGGTCATTTGTCTCTCGAAGTTCTTCACAAGAGAACTTGCAAAATAACTCGATGATAAAAGTCAAGTACCATCATTTCCACAAACTCATCCTCGTTCAGTTTAATGGATTCAACATAACATTTTCTTGCTTCTCTTTCAAATTGTTGCATGGCTATGACATATACATCCACACTCAACTCATTTTTCCGTTTAAGTAGCTCGTGCAGGTACCATAATTTGTACTCTTCCATCATTTGTAGCTTAACATAGTCGCAATGATAAGGATCAATTGCTACTATTTATGGTTCGTATGCTCCATTGTTTTCTCTATGTAGTGCGTCATTTATTTGAACATGTAAGGTTTATAGGGTGTAGATGGTAAAGAAACAAGCTTTCCCTTGAGACAAATAGACAATTGAGACATCTGATTTCCCTTCACAATATATGTAGAATGACAAACAAGTATCTAAGAATATTTTACTCAAAAAATCTCAAACACTATGAAAGCACATTGACAATAATTAGACATATTTTTTCTTTTTGAAAAAAAACAAGGTGGAAAGCTTAAGTCATTTTTGTTAAATACACAAGATGGGCAGGGGCTGAGCCAAGAATTTATATGTTGGGGGAGGGGGGGGGGGCACTAAGTATAAGTTTAAAAATTTGCATTCTTAAGGATTAAAGTTAAAAACAAATAAATTTTTTAAATCATATATAATACCTAAAATTTCATTGACAAAAGAGCCAAAAATTAATATACATGGGGGGTACAAAAACCAAAAAAATTTGCAAAATAATGTTCTAATTAGACCTCTTTACAAAAATGAGACTAACTATAGACTAACTTTTACAATTGACCACGACGTGATTTCATATTTTGAAAGCGTTGAATGATAACATCATTATCAATGCAATCGAAAATGTCATTCTCTATGTATACAATCAAGTTATTTGTTATTCATTGATCAATTATTTGATTATGCAATCGATTCTGCACAATCTTCACAATCGAAAATGTTTTCTCTACTGTGACAGTCATAACTGGCATGATTAATGTCAATGTCACAAGTAAGTAGACCAATGAATATACCACGTGTTTTTTTGTCTCAATTATTTTCTAAACAAGATCTTCAATCCCTAGCAAATTTGAAAACTCAATATTAGAGCGCATATCAATAATATAACTATCTAGTTGTTCAGAAAGTATCATGAGCTTTAGTGAAAAAATTCTTTTGGATAAAATTGGGTAAGACAAACTAATTTCTCCTTGTCAAAAGCTAAGAAGGAATCACAAGGACTCAACACATGCCACACAAAGAAGAAAATTAGTGTTTGACTCGATAAAACGACTATTTAGCTCTTAAAGTTGCATATCTATGATGGTATAAAATAACTCAACTTGATAAATCTTCTACAACTGCCTTCAGTGAGAAAACACTAGTATTAGTAACTTGTTCAAAACCTAAAAGGTATTCAAATATATGTCCCTTCTTGTCCACAAATTGCAACACAACAGCCATTTGCTACTTTGTTGATATGTCACGTCATTCATCAATAAGAACAGAAAAAAAGTGCATCATCAAGGCGGGTCACAATAACATTACACGTTTCAACAGAACCTACATTTATAATGTCTTTTTGAATTTCAGATGAAGTCAACTTGAAATTCTCAGGAGCATTTTTCAACACAACAGCTTTAATATCCTCATTGTGATCAACAAGAAATCTAAGAAACTCAAAGAAGTTTTATTGGTTACTTGAATTCTCAGATTAATTGTAACCACGAAATACAAGCCCTTGCCTTAGAAGAAATCGAATACAATCAATGGATGCATTTAACTGGGTTCTGTACTCACTTCGAGTTTGGTTTGACTGTTTGGAGAAAATAGCTTCAATACTTTGCTTTGGCTTCAATATTTGATTTAAAAAGATAACAGTACAAGCAAAATGCTGCATCTTTTGCTACATTATACTCAAGTCAATTACAAAACTGAGAAAACCAAGCTTTGTTAAACCGTCGTAGTTTAACACCAAATCCTTTTTATGGAAAATTATGGTTGCGGGGTTGACAAGGACCCTTTTGTAGATAAGCTCTACGAATTTGGTCTTGATCATTTGGATTATAATCCATAATCTGAGGTCGTAGTCTGGGATTTGATGGAAGATCCGCCATATATATATATATATATATATGACTTTTCTTTGAAGAATCACCACCTCTGTTTGGAAGAGGTGATAATTCTGACTCAAATTTTCTTTTAAAATACTTCTCCATGACTATTTCAAAAAATTATTCAAGAAAATGAGTTTATACATCTACTTTTACAATAAATTAAACAAACTATTTTGTCAATTTTATTGCTACCATTCTAAAGAATATATTGTATTAGAAAGCAAATACAAGTACAAATGCATAAAAGTATCCAATTCATAATTTTAATAAATCCAAACAATATCATTCAAGATATTAAAAATAGGTTCAGATTGAGAGTTACCAAAAAATATTTTTTACTGTCGATTCAATAACTACAACTCAAAGTCTTCAAAACATCTCCAATTACTAATCCGGACTATAATAAATCAAGAAAATAATTAGGGAAAAATGCACAAAAACAAATAGAGAAAAATACATAAAAATTCAAATAAGGGCAAAATGCACAAAAATTTAAATTAGGGTTAAAAATTAAAATGCACAAAAAATCAAAAATTACCAAGACTAATTAATTCAAAATTTTGAAAATAAAAAACTTAAATGTGTGTGTTTTGTGCACAGTGTAGTGTACACGTGTGTGCCGTGTGGGCGTGTTGATATAGAGAGAGAGTACATTTATTTTGTCGGGGGTGGCTCTGTCTCGGTGTAAGGAATTGAGCTTTCTTTCTTCTCTGTTTCTTTGTTATGTCTTCTGGCTGGGGCAACTGGGAGTGAGTGAGACAAAGAGACAAAAAGAAAAAAAAAAGCGAAGATAGTAGATAAGATAGGTTTTAATCAAGTGGGCCAAACTATTTGTTTTTTAATGGATTCTTTGGAATTTTTTTTTTTTTGGAAAGGGAAGGGGACTTGAACCCTTGACCTCAAGAAGGCAAAACCTTCACAAGCCAAGGAGTCTCATTGAACCAAAAACCTATTAGTTAATTAGACTTAATTGTAAAAAAATACATAGAACAAAATATTTTGAAAAAAAAAACACAATTGAGATACAAAGACGCAAATGCCAATTTTGTAAAATTTTCTTTCCTAAAAACTTTAACAAGACATTTATTAAAGACTAAAATTTAGGGTCATTTAATTCAAAATCTCTTATCTTTAACGCACATTGATTCATGCGTATTTTTTTTTGGAAAGCGGTTTTATTTTCAAATTATATTTATACATTAAATATTTACTACTACTAGTTTTATAGAAGAATTTTAATATTCCGTTTATTTTAGAATATATCACTTGTTTGAATTTTAAAATTTGTTAATATCCGAACTCCATAAAAGTGTAACAAAAACAGTGTAACCAAGACATTATAACAATACACTGTAACAAAAACAGTGTTCAGTAGTTTTGTGCATGTGATAACAAATTCAAAACGGAGATGAACTATTTTGAATGAAATTATATGAAAATATATATTTGACAAAATGTAATATTACAATATTTTGTGTAAATGACTTGTTACACTATTATTGTTACACTGTTCGGATATTAATATAATTTGAAAACAAAATCACTTTCAAAAAAAAAAATACGCATGAATCAAGGTGCATTAAATATAGTTTGAAAATAAAATTACTTTCTAAAAAAAACGCTTGAATTAAGGGAGGACATACAAATATGGAATATTAAATTTCTGTCATAAAACCAGGAGATGTTTAATATACCATTTTTCCAAAGAAAATACACATGATTAATGGGGGACAAAAATGTCACAAAAAAATCACTAAAATTCAAATAATGTACGTAGATTTAAATAAGTATCAAAATTAATGACTTAATTACCCAACATTTTTTATGTGTATTTTTTTACAATTAAGTCTAATTTGATATACCCCCTTCCAATTTTTCCTTTTTCAATTGTGGGTGGGCCAAAAGTTTTGTTTTTAATGTTGAGCAAAATATTTTATTTTTTTAATAGGTTTGGGTGGATTGTGATAAATCAAATATTTGATTTTTTAATAAGTTTGAGTAGATAATAGTGGACTCAAATTTTTATTTCTTTTGGATAAATAAAGCGGGCCTAATATTTTTATCTTGGGTTTTGGTTGGCACAAATAATATATTATACAAATATATAATATATATACCTAACTAAGAATTTTTTTTTTTTTGGGTGGGGGGGGGGGGGGACACACTTGCCCACCTTGGCCCACGCTTCCCTCCTCCATTCTTGAAGATAGGACATGATTGGTCTAGAAGACCAAACACAGACATTTGTCTCCCGCAATTACGACTTTTTTTTAGGGGTATCAAACGTATCGGATTGAGTTATTTTGTGTTAGGTTGATCTCGAATTTGTATTGAAAATTCCAAAATTCAAACATGACATATTTAATAATCGTGTTGAGATATATAAACACTAAACTGACCTGACTATTACCCGAACTCGACTTGTTTAACACGTTTAATAAACATGTCGTTTTCAAGTTAACACACATAATATGATCTGTTTAATTTGTTTAGCACACATAACATAGACTTGTTTAACACACATAATTTGTTTTCTCACTAATTCATTACCATTAAATACATTATTTAATCATTCATCCACAATTTTAAATAATTTTTTACAAATAACTTATTACATCTTATCAATAAAATTAACTAAAATGCATTCAAGTTTCAACCCAAAAATTAAAGTAAGAATTATACTAGCATACTGTCATAATAATGTTAAGAACTATATTGCTAATTATCATAAGAGAAGGAAGAACTAATAAGTAATAATGTTAAGACCATATCAGTCATACATAATAAGCAAACTATACTGTTATAAATGGGTATATAATGGGTTAGGTCGGGTTTGTATCCGAATCATAATGTTAAGACCATATCAGTCATACATAATAGGCAAACTATACTGTTATAAATGGGTATATAATGGGTTAGGTCTGGTTTGTATCCAAATCATATCAACCCGTTTAAAATATACGGGTTAATCAGGTCAAAATCGAGTTGACCTGATTTTGACATTAACTCGATATGATTTTTTTCGTGTTTAAACATGTTGACTCGTTTTAACCCATTAACTTGTTTAATTTCATGTCTGACCTATTAATTTCGTGTTCGATTTGTTTTATGTTAACGTGTCATGTCAAAAATTAACAGCCGTACTTTTTTTCACCTTTTTCCCTCAATTAGTTTGTTTTTCATATTGCACCTTTAAATCTGTGATTTTATTTTTGGATTGTTAAAATTATTAGCGTCTGTTATAAATTTGATAAAAAATATTTTATTATGCCCAAATACGTTGATAATTTTCGCCAAAAAAGATAGCAGATGTTTGCATTTGAGGAAATTAAAAGTAATTCAAATAGCTGAAGGGACAATGCAAAAAATTCAATAGTTTAAAAGGTAAAGTGAAATTAAATCTATAATGAAAGGAGTTAATACTACAGTTGAAATGTGAATGTTAGATTACTGTGATTAAAATGTAAGTGTGATCAATATATAAACTGTAAGATAGATCGTTAGATTCAAACGATTTGTTGGACATAGATACACTAACAACCATGGACTGCAACTTGAAGAAATTATTCTTTCTAAACATCTTTTCGATGATATAGTCATCAATAAAATATCTGAGGTCACAAATTTTCGATGCGATGCATTAATCTAATACGAAATTAATTGGATAAAGTTGATTTGTTTTCAAATTTAAATAAAAAATAAAAGATATGACCAAACATATGGTACCTTGATGAAGCTGCCCGTTCAATGATTGAAAGAGAAGATTAGTCAATTAGGTTCATTCAGTGAAGAGTATTTTGTTAATGTTTGGCGCTGAGCATAAATGAGATGTAACTGTTCGACTTACGTTCTTCGAGGGAACTGTAAACACAGTAATGACGTGGCTCGAGGGCAGTTGACCTACTGTCAACAGGGGCTAGCCCCTAATTGTCTCCATGTACGAACAAATCAGGGAAGTTCCCCTTTTGACATACTGCCAAGGAACCCAACTCTACTCGTGGCCTCGTTTTAAGCATAATTCATACATCCTTGGCTATAAATACCCTCTTAGCCTAATGTCATAGGTATGCCATCTACCGTTAGAGGAGAATTGTCATATACACATCTGACCCCGATTTTGTTTTTAAGGTTACTTCGTACATTTTACTCTAACCACATCAAGATGTTTTCATCTTCAGTGCCGTTACCTACTAATATTATCGAAAATTGTCTGTACACTCTCAATTATAAATTTTATCAATTTCACTAATGATCGCTCATCCATCGCTGATTCCTTAAGTCTCATTAGGTGTCAATGGACCCATAGAGAGACGTTATTATGCTCCAATGAATTTGAAATGACCCATTATTTAACTTGACCAAAATTTAGTGCATCAAGACCCATGTTCATTGACAAAAACTTAGCTTCTCTTGCCTTCAATTTTTTTTCCCAATTTCAGTCGTGTTAACCATCCATGTTAATTCATTAGATCCTATCAGGTATTAGGTACCAGTGGGACGCTTAGGGACTAATTTTTAGGCCCAATGAAGTTGAAAGAGCATTATTGAAATTGATCAAAATTGACAAAAAAATTAAGAGCATTGAGATCTATCATGGTTAGACAATAATATTTGCGATAGCCCACTATTGTCGACCAACGCTAGGAGGCCTACCAAACCTCAACAGACTGATGCAGATCCAAAGAAGGTTGATCGAGTTAATCAGAGAATCCATGATTTTTTATCGATTATAATTTCATTTGTTATCGAGAGATTATTTAGGATTTTAGTGATTTCGAAATTTAAAAGAATACGACAAGCACCGAATCAATTGATACGGATTTATAAATTTGTTCTAAGAAAATTGCATATTGTTTATGGGTATTGAATTTGTGTTGTGGAGATTATTAAGTCTCCGAATATTATGAAATTGGATCAAGACGTTACACTTTCAAGACCATCCCTCGTAATGTTGTTAAAAAAATGAGATTTTCCTCATAGCACAAGCTGCACAGCTAACCAGTTGCAAGTCATTAACAAAAATAGCCGAACTTCTATTTGGCTAGCTGTTAAATAACATACTCAACAGAATTCCATATATAAGTTAATAGTTTACAACTCCATTTAAACCAAACTTCACTGCAGTGCTTTAAAAAACATTCAAATTGACTAGAATTTCTAACTAAGAACTTCAAAACATGACTTAAAACTAAACTTGTAAGATAGAACATCCTGTTTGTATCACAGTGAGTAGCAGAAACACAGTAGCCACAGTAACTGAAAGAATAGACCACGGGCTGTTGCAATAATTATACCTTGGAAAAGCCATCCATCCATGACGACGATGCTTGCAATACTCGTTAACTTCCTTGAACACTTTCCGATAATAGAACGTTTCAGAATCTACATTGACCAAGATGTGATTGCACATTTTGTTAAACATGGTAGAAACAACTTTATCATCACCTAACCAATTATCAATAATTCCAGAGTGGCGAAGTATTTCGACATCCTTAGGGGAATTGAGGAGGCAATCCATAAAAGTCATATAGTCGGTCATATAAGTATTCCCAGTTTCTCCACTGTATTGCTCGTAAGCAATCAGATTTCTGAATAGCCACTCTGTATCATCATCAACTCGAAGGGGAGGGATTTCCATGATACCATTTTCAAACTTAACATCGAGCAATGAGGAACATTCAGTCTTCTTGAATTTAATCCCAGCTTCTCGAAGCTCTGTAACACTTTTTATGAACTCGTGGCTTTTATCAGTCCCAGAACTTAGTGGGATCACTATAACGTTGCCCTTTTCAGCAATTAAAGAATACCAGGCATCATGTACAAGGCTTAGAAGATGACGGTCGTTATATTTTGGAATTGTGGTTGGTTGATTGTTGGAAGTTTGTGAACGCGAAAAACTTGAAATGGTTGCACGAAAAAAATTGAGGGCCCAGCGAGCTAAGATGTCTTGTGGATTCCCTTGGTTTGAATTTTCGGTCATATCAATTAATTGGATGAGGACAAAGAGTGGAATTTGGTTCTCAAATAACAGTAAGTCACGTCGTATACTTTTCCGAATATTAAGAATTTGGAAAATGGGGTCGTGTTCATATCTTGAGGTTGGATTGTTAAACTTGCGAAATAACTCGATGATAAAGCACCCATCCAGTAGCATCATTTCCACAAATTTATCCTTATTCAGTTTAATGGGTTCTGCATAATAATTCCGAGCTTCCTTCTCCAAATTTTTCAAGGCTTCCAAGTATCTATCCACACTCTCATTTCTTCGTTTAAGCAGTTCATCTAGGTACCGTAGTTTGTGCACTTCCATCATTTGGAGGTTAACTTTTTTGCGGTAGTAAGGACCAACACCGAGTATTTCTGGTTCATAGGCTTTCTTATTTTGTCTTTGTAATTGTTCATTTATTTTGAAGATAAAAGGGCAAATTGATGCGGATGATAAGAAAGCAAGCCTTTCGTTGATGCCACTAGACAGCTGAGACATTTGGTTTCCCTTTCAAATAGATAAATAGTGGCAAAAAATTCTATAAGAGTCCCTCATAAGATATTTCACATATAAATTTAAAGTGCAAAACTAATGAAAAAAAACTTGCAAAACATTTCACACGAAGCAAGGTTTAATTTCTATAAGCCGGCTACTAGCCAATCCACCCTTCATTTTTTTTGGATTTTGGGGGCAAAGTAAGGATGAGAGTGGACTAGAGTGGGGGTCGTGGCAATAGTCTCTATCCTGTATTAGTTTAAAAAATATTCGTCCATCCCTATTTTTTTGGGGGGGGGGGGGGGGGGGAATTTAATTCTCATCCCCGACCTGCTGGTAAATTTTAATCTCCATTTTCATCCATAACAATTAATTTTTATGCTTTTAGGAAAAAAATTGAAAAAAAATTAATAAAATCTCACAAATAAATTTGCAAGAAAGATGAAACCTCATTATATCACAAATAAATCAAAAAAAAAAAAAGGAGAGGAAGTAAAGTATTTTTTTAATAAAGAGAAGAGTGTGTGGATAGGTGTGGGATTTGTGATATTATGTATATGTATTAGTAAGTGGATAGATGGGTGGGTGGGGTTTGTGTCTTTATGAAATATGATATATATATATATATATATATATATATATGAATTTCATAGGTTTAGAAAGGAGTGGCGGAGGCAGAGATGAGATGAATTTCAGTCTATTCCCGCCTTCATTCTCGCACGAGTTTATACGACTATTTTCATATATGTCAACCTTTCAATATGTATAGTCTATTCCGATCCAAACAAAATGAGTTAGAACGAATACTTGATTTTTTTTCTGGTCCACTGTCATTCTAGAACAAAGTGAAAAAACTCATACTGCTGGAGATTAATTGGCAAAATTTTTCATCCAATCTATCATAAATGTTTGTTATTTGGTTAGTGTAAAAGTAATGACCACAATTAGAAGAGTACTTTGAAAGAATCGAAATACAGCTTATTTTTCAAATAATCAAGACAAATGATTATAGAATTCAACAACTTACTGGTTTGCAACTTCTTTGTCTTCTGAAATAATTGCTTTAATTGGAAGTTTGCGTCACACCAACAAATTTGTGAAGGCTTTTGTGAGGGGGTGCAGATTCAAATGTTGGATGAAAAATTAGGCGAAGGAGAGCAACTAATTTATAATAGGTCTACTTAACCATATTCCTTATGTGAAGGAGAAGATATTTTTACATAGGACAATTAGTAGGTAATCGTACGTGGAATCAAAATACCATAATACCCCTCACTATCCAAGTATATTTCTTTTCTCACTAGCCAATATGTATCTTTATGAAAATGGAGATAGTTTTCCATGAGCTTGATTACAATGTCTAAAGAGATATCTTATCAAAAGTCACAAATAAATAGTAATTAATGGGTTGAGTCATTCATCAATTCGTGTTGAGAAATGATCAATTTTAATCCGCTAATTTATTTTATTTTATTTTCTCCCCCTGATGTTAAACGACTAGTATTGTGGGCTGCTATCAATTAGCCTCATCCCTTTATTATATCTCCAATTGGTCATTAATCATCCAATTATTTCACAATTAATTGGACCAACTAATTTCAATTGGCTCCATTATAAACTACTGAAATGTTAATCAAAGTCGGTAAATTACAAAAATACCTTTGTACTCTGAACATTTTACAATAATACCCTCCATTGGGATATTGGTAATTAGGATTAGGATTTAATAATGTCAAAGTCATCCCTAATTATCTTTCAACTCATGTGATCCGTAATCTAAAATGCTTTACCTCTAATTACCCTCTAATTACCTCCAATTGGTCATTAATTAATCATCCAATTATCTTATACAAGTACATTGATGTTAGATATCACTTCCTTCTTGAAGTTATGGCTTAAGGTATTGTCACATTAAGGAGCTTGGTGGGAGGGGCATTTTGGTCCTTTCAATGTAATTTTAATTTTTTTTTAAATTCAAACACAATAAAATAAACACTCTTAAAATTTAATAGGAAAAATTTTAACTGTCTAGATCCACACTAACTCTAGTCCATTTGAACTTCCGTTTATGCTCGATTCCTGCCACCAACCATCATTTAGTCTTAGTTATAAAACCTAAACACCACGTTCATCTCTTTCAAATGTACTCTGAGGCCATGCTCAATTGAGCACCATTCTCGAGGCCCTACTCTCCCGACCTCGGCCGTTATATGTCTTTTAGTCACTAGCTAAGATGGTCTCATCATTAATTCATTGCATGTTCTCTTGAAAGATACATACCAAAATGCAACATCACATCATTATTATTACAAAGGACCAAGTCTCAACGGGAATGGTTTTCATTTACACCAGTATTCCTTAAAACCATACATTCAATACAGACAACTTGAAGGTTGTTGGGGATAAGAATGACTAATTTCTAAACTTCTTACAACCATATTTTTAATAAGATGGAGAAAGGCACAATAAAATTAAAAGTTTTGAGGCCCAACTATAACTGACATTATCTCTGAAATAATCGATATCGTGTTGAAATTTTCATGTAAATGCTGTTTAGTTAAACTATTTTGGATCAAGAGTTATTATTCAAAAAGGTCACTAAAACTCTATATGGCCAGATTTCAAAAAAAAAATTATGCAATTCTAATCTTGAAAAGGTTATGATCAATTTGTAATAATCTCATTTTAACATGAATTTTACAAATTTAAATCTTGACCTTAAATTGTGTTTTTTTTATTTATTTAGTAAGATACAAAAATAATCACAAACTATATATTCAAATGTTGTCCTACATTTGATTATTGAGGGAGTTGAACATTTTGTAGGAGTGTCCCTTTTTGGGCCCTAATTTGATATACTTTCATTGTAACCATTAAATTAAAACCAAGTTTTAATATTAGATGGAGGTGTTCGTACACCTAACAACTGATTTGGCAGGTCAGGTAATCTTCAAAATGAGTCGGTACAAATATCCAATGCATGTCTTTTCAAGGTTTATATCTGTATATATTAAAAAATAATAAAAAAAATCATTTTGAAAATCCAATACAATGTGAATGACACAATTTGAACTGAATTTTATAAAACTATGTTTGGATTTTAACTCAATTTTATCCAATGATCACTCAACATCATCATATATATATAGCACAAATATATATGCAATAAGATGCTCACTTCCATTATATATATATATATATATATAAATTAATTATTTTTTTCAATTTTAAAGATGCTTAAAAATTGTACTACTTGTGATTATACTTTTCTTTTCTTTTTCAAAAGGTAAATAATTTCCTAAACCGAATTTAACAGATATACAGTCAAACCCAAAACACATTTTCATGGACATGATCTTATATTCAACAATCACAAATAAAGTCAGAAAAATTATAATTTTTTGAGATCAAGTTATAATTGGATGCCAAAAAATAGTAATTTAATCCAAAATATTAATAATTGGAGGTGCAGTACCCACAAAAAAAAAGGGGTTATGCTAGAATTATCTACAAGAACATACATTCGGGACAAGTTATAATTTTTTTGTGCCATATTGAACATTACTATCCAATTTAGTAGTACAGATTTTGCTATTTGCTGTGCTAATTAAGCAGAGGTGCCAGTCTCATCATGCATTGACTGCATACTCGGAGCATTGTGGTCCTTGCAAGACACTCCACATATGGCAAATGGACTATCACTTTCAATTGAAAACATTCACTCAACCAGGACAACCGAAAAGTTGTTAGGATTGGTTCACTACACGACAATTTAAAGGTTGTTGGGATAATTTTCTTACTTGTATTGAACGTATTGATATTGAATGTGTTGGCAAAAGATTACGAGCTGGAACTGCGATAAGAAATAAGTACGATTTAGATATTGAAAGTGTAGTCCTAATGATTCAAAGATGTTTGCGACCCATAACCCTTTACAAAAAATGAGGTCAATTCTATCTATTTATAATTAGGTTCGATAAGGCTTCATACTTTTAAAATGTTACATGATAACAATCAATAACATTGAAAATATCTTTCTCTTGAATGCCAAAGCTTGAAGGTTGCATTATGCGATATTTCATTGATTACTGGTGCTTTGTTTGCTTTAGTGTTTTTCGAGAAACTTGAGAATAGAGGAAGCTGGACTCTTTTTTATCCAACTCTTTTTTTTCATTGTCTACTCTAAGAGATTCTATGGCCCATTTTTTTTTTTTGTTTCAGTATATTAACTAAGAGATTTGTTCTCCTAATAGACCTAATTTTGTTTATTTTATAACTCACCAGGGTGGGATATATCCCATTTGGTTATTAAATATTTTTCTATCAAACCTATTTAATATACTACAGAAAGCACACCGTACATACGTGTACTTTCTGGTTTTTTTTGTTTTTATTCCTGAAAAAAAAAAGATGGAGAATGGGTATTAATTCTCTTCTTGCAGATAAGGTTTGCGTAGCATGTGATGAACGTGGACTAATCACTTTTATATAGCACCGTTACCATACAATAGTTCACTACAGGGTGGTCGGCATATTATGTTACACATTCTCTAATAGTGTAATAACTCTGATATTATATTAAACAATCGTTTACTCTAAAAGCTTAAGCTGTTAGAAAAAAAGTGTAATATAAATATTTATCTAATATGACCTTCTGAACTTGTTTTAAATTTATGCTATCACAAACGCTACGAGACTTTAGACAAAACAAAGATGTATTTACAACTATGGTACCATGAGACAGAATTGGTTGCCCTTGTTTATTTATTGAGGGAACCTAAGTATAATCATATTTCTCATGATTGTATTAGTCATGGAGATATAAATGGCATTTGATTTTCAGTTTTTTACAGCTTATTAAACAACAAAGGAGCAGCAGAACTTCTAATTAAGTGTTTAACTATTGTTTCTTGATTCATACCATCAATAGAGGACAACTTGAAGATTGATTGGAGCAGAATAGTTGTTGGTGGGGGTAAAGGATATCACTCAAGCTATTAGTTAAAGATCATTTGTCTGTCTTTAGTCTTGACAATATCTTTCCAACAACTAGATGGACATTGACTCGAGTAGGAATGTTCAGTAGGT